CTTCCTCCGCCCCCCGACCACACCCCCTTAAAGGGCCAGTCCCACTACGGGCCTCTCACCCCACCCCGCCCCCAAGCAGGGGCTAACGGAGGGTTTCGTCGGTAAGGGCTTGAGCCTGACTGTCGCAGTCCCTTAAATAACCTTCCAGCCCCAAACCCAGGCGTTCTAAGCACCCAGTACCAAGATTTGCGCTCCCACTTGCGCCTAGCCCTCTTTGGACCCTTCCTCATTCTGCTATCATTGAGGCAAGGAATAAGAGCCGTCTGTGAACAGAGGAGAATGGACACTGTGTGTAGGGAGATGATCTGGTGAGGACACGTGGAGACCCCCTGATTCTGGGTCCTCCGGCTCTTGGCTAGTAAAGTGAGAGCGGGCTTCTCCGCGTGGACCAACACGTGGACTGGGATCTCAGGGATGGAGGGGTGGAAAGTACGGACAGGAGTTGCTTAGGTGCCCAGACGCCCTAATTGGCGGAGTCCCACGCCCCCCACGAGTTGAGGGTGAGCAGAACCAGCCGGCCGGCATGAAGGGCGAGACCCGAGGCAGCCACCGCCCACCGACCAAGATGGCGCTGGGAACGGGATTGTGGGAAATGTAGTACGTGGGTCCGAGCCCGTATGGCCGCCCCTCCCCCACGGCAGAGCCTGAGCCCGAAAGCACGAACTTGTTGGGGCGCCCTCCCAGGGCTCACCGTCAGCGGGTGCGCGCCTCGGTGCCCTGCAACCTTTGTGTGTACAAAGAAGGAAACTAAGGTTCAGAGAGCTGGGAAGTGAGGAAGCCAGGACTCGTGATAAAAATAATGGTAAAAATAACAGGAGGCCCTTAATGAGCGTTTATTAGGACCCCCATCCAGTTGGTTCCACTTTGAGGACACAGCGCTGGATCTCCCACAGATCATTTCCCTGCAGTGCCTCTGTCCTTCACATCTTACTGGCCCACCTCTCTTAAGCCTACTAGGCATCCCATTCCCTCACCCTATTTGATTTTATACATCTTTAAATTTTCTCTTTTATTGTTCATTGTCTGCCTTCTTCTACATTGAGTTCCATTAGGCCAAGACCTGTGTGGACTTAAGTTTTGTGCTCATGCCCAGGCTTCAGTCTGCTTAGTTTTCAAACCTGCGTGTAGGCTCAGCGCCTATGGCTCAAATGGCTAAGGTGCCAGCCACATACACCTAAGGTGGCGGGTTCGAATCCAACCTGGGCCTGCCAAACAACAATGATGGCTGCAAACAAAAAACAGCTGGCGGGCACCTGTGGTCCCAGCTACTTGGGAGGCTGAGGCAGGAGACTCACTTGAGCCCAGGAGTTGGAGGTTGCTGTGAGCTATGATGTCA